TATAACGCCTACAGGCTTAATTACAAACTGTGTCCTACCGCGGTAATATTAGGTCGTTGCAAAAGAAATGCAGGATTTCGTTTTTTTGTATTTAATACTTATTTTATTCCAATAAAATGTAAGTGTTATATATCATTCGAAAGCTTATCTAATGCTCTTTCTAAATGATACTTCAAGATTGGTTGTAATTCTTTTTAGAGGCCACAAAATCGTTGAAGGCGTTTTTGACATCGTCTTGGTTTTTGAAGCCTTTCTCTCTAAGATAGTTGTCCAGATGCTTGAAAAAGTGGTGATCGGTGGGCGACAGGTCTGGTGAGTATGGTGGATGAGGCAGAGTTTCATAGCCCAATCCGTTTATTTTCTGGAGGGTAAATTGTGCAAAGTGTGGTCGGGCATTGTCGTGGAGAAGAGTCCAGGAAATCGCTGGGTGGGAGTCCCTTCATATTGACCAACCTTGGGCACATGCGTTAAGCTTCTGATGCATTTCGTCGATTTGTTGACAGTACTTCTCTGCCGTAATTGTTTCACCAGGATTCAGGAAGCTGTGATGGATGAGACCGGCGGCAGACCACCAAACATGAAGTTCATCTTCAAGGCTGGTGTTGCCAGAACGAAACTTCTGGAACCAACGTTGGACCGTAGATTCGTTGATACTTCCTTGACCCCAAACTTCGTTGATGTTCCGAGCTGTATCGGCAGCGTTTCGTCCTAGCTTGAACTCATAGAAGAAAATAGTGCGAAATTCACGTTTCGACATCTGCAATAAAATGTCAATAAAAATTATAATAAAATGAATTACAACCAATCTTGGAGTATCATTTAGAAAGAGCATGAGATGAGCTTCCGAATAGTATATAACACTTCATATTAAAGTAACATATTATTGGAATAAAATAAGTATGAAATACAAGCAAGCAAAATCCTGCATTTCTTTTGCAACACCTAATAGATTGCGTAGTAGGGGAGGGGGTCAATTGCTATTGTTTCTTGCTTCTTCGCCACTTGCGGGGTCTGGGGCGGTAGTGGTATAACTCTGTGCGACGCCAGACCTTGGCTCCAAAATGAGGAAGCGGACTAATGCCGTTTGGACTCTAGATTTCGGCTCCGAGCTCATTTTAAAAGTGGCAGATCACCAAATCCGCTAAAAACTTGTATATAGGGGTAATTCAACATCCTGATCACGAATATGACATTCATTTTTGGCGCTGGCGCTAATGGATGACACTACGGTTACCTGCGCTCTGCTAAGGCTGAGCCCAGGAGGTAATCGTAGTGTCCTCTCTTGGCGCCAGCGCCAAGAATGAGTGTCATACTCGTAATCAGGATGTTGAATTACCCCTATATACAAGTTTTTAGTGGATTTGGTGACTTAGGCAATTTGAAAATGAGCTCGAAGACGAAATTTCTGGAGTCCAAACGGCATTAGCCCGCAGGAGATTGAGCGTTCAGACTTCGCGACGGCAGCGCGCTTCGGTCGCGTGAGGTGCTAGGAGGCGGATCAGCGCATAGCTTTGAGGCAGCGATCGAACGCGAGGGGGGGGGGCGGGGGGGCCGAACGTGAGTTTATTGTGTCTCGGGGTTTGTGCGAAGTCTGAACGCTGCCGAAGGCATTCCGTCGCCACTGATGCTATTGTGATGTTATCTCAGTTACCCAGATACATGTGTCGCTATCTACTTCCGCCTTCAAGAGGCGTGCTACGGAAAACATTCGTAAGCAAAGTAGTACGAAGTAGTCCCCAAGAGAACCGTAAGGAAACATGCTTCCCACCATTCTGCCATTTTGCTATCGCATCGCAAGTTATGAACGCAGTCTCGGCCGTTTCTGCGCCCTCTTACCGGTGCTGAAGTCGTGGAGCAGCGGCCTTGTTTTCGGGGGTGTCCCTCCCGTAACTGTTCTGCTGAGGGGCGGAGAGCACATTTCACAAATCATGTATGGTAGGTAGGTGAAGGGCGGCTGGATCACTTATCCCATTAGAAAGCCTACCCCTGCCCTCACTCTGGCAGTGGTTGGTACGATGGAGTCGTTCCCCTGTCTGGAGGGGTGAAGAGAGAGCGGGTGTGAGAAGATTGTTCGAGTGTTCATTCTGGCGCCATAGGCGTGGCGGCGGGGGGTCTGTAGTGCGTGTGCGGCGTGGTTCAAGGCGGTCTGTTCGATTTCTTTCGTTGTTGCTCGAGCCTTCTAGGTGTGGCGTGTGTAGGAGGCGTTTGGGTGGTGGGGGAGGAACGCAGCGTTTCATGCGAGAGGAAAGAGGTTTAGCGTTATCGGATTAGTATGTGGGGGGAGGGACCGTCAGCGTTTGCCGTAGTAGTGAGGCGCGTTTTCGGAAAATGTCAATCTTTATGAGCCTAGAGGGTGATGTTGGTGAACTATCTTCTTTTTTTGCAGTGAAGTACTCTGGCGTCTTCTCCTTGAACACTCGCAACACTAAAAGCTGGACGGAACGGTAGATTAGAGCCCGACGAGGCGCGTTGCATTCTATGCGCTATCGAGCGATCGAACGCGCGGATTTCAGTATTGAACGGCGCTGAGAAGTACCGCCGCAGGGCTTGGGGGGGGTGCGATACAATTGCTTCAGCGACCCGACCGCGAAGTCGTAAACGCGGTCTAAAAGAGGTTGCTTATTTTCAACTTATGTCTTCTTTAGAGTCTCAATTGGCGTGCGTGGGGTGAGTGGGTGTTTGTCGGTAAGGCCATTGGTCGTACGCGCGCTTTTTTTCGGCTGGCTGCCGCGTACTCGGACCATATTTCGCATGACGTCGCGGCGCTGCTGCCACTGTGATGCAGCACGCGTGCACGCGAGGGAAGCGGTAGTTTTCTCGCGCCCGCCCAGCGAGGGGAGTATGAAACTTCAACGTATTGGTCTTTCGCTCCTCCAGGCCTTATTTATTTTCGAGGAAACTTACCTCACTTATGCGTAGCATGTTCCAAATAGGCCCAGATGGATGAACGCGAAATAGGGATCGTTTGACGAACTTCTGATTGAAAATGCCAACGAAGTGATGGGACAGGGCCCTGATACCTCAAGATATGTTTGTCCGCGTGAATCATGAAAGTGAGTCGCATGGAATCAAGCCGAAGAAGGCTCAGATTGAAACGGATTGGAGGATTAGTAATGGACCCTAAATTATCAGTTCAGAACAGGACAATTTGACTTCCAAGTTTTCGGTGGTGTACTGGATGAAGATGTTCTATTTTACCAGTACCCAATCAGATTTTTCCGGCGATTTTTCTCAGACCATCTCGTTGATTTGATTGTAAGAGAAGCCGATCGTTATGCTATCGCAAAAGGGTGGACTTGAACTGGCATCTCTCGACGGAGGCGGATCTAGGCCTTTCAAGCGAAAACGTGAATGGTGCTCGGCGGGGCAGTACGACTAGAAAGCCATGCCCATATTATGATGTATTACAGATGCACAACCTGCAATCAATTGGTTTCCTGCATAATTGTTTCCGCACATATCATCTGTCCTGTTTAATCCTTTATGAGTGTTTATGAACGTAGAAAATAAATGAAGAAGATCACAATTGAAGTATTTCATGAAAGAGGTCAATAACCCAAGTGCTCCTTCAGCGATCGAGGTCCCACGTACTTATGTTGTTCTCCGTGTTCGAAAACATATGCTCGCAACTTTGTAGCAGAAAAGGATGCAAAATAATCCAGATGGAGCGAAAAAATCATCGTGCTGCACCATGTGCAGCACGCGGCCATACAGCGACGAATGAGCGTGCTGCACATGGTGCAGCACGCGGTACGCAATGGGTTAACAATCGTGTTGAGTGAAACTGATTCATGAAGTCATTTTATACATCTCATTAATCTCGAACGACTTTGAACTTTTGGCTGCAGTTAATAGTATTTTTCATGGTATATTTTCAGGCATTCGTTAAATTGGAATGGATACGGATATCAGTAATGGGTACGTTTTGTCTGTTTCCCTCTTATTTATGGCAGATTGTTCTTCACAATATTTTTTCTGTTATCCATCTTTCGCGGGTCCTTTAGCCCGTTTTTTGAGAAGGGGGTCTAGAGAGTCTGAATCTGTGACTTCACAGATTCCAACTCTTCAACCTCATGCACTTCAACGTGAGATATTTGGCTCACCGCCCCTGCATTTCCCTTTGCAAAAACCCGTAGCAGAGTTCACTCTTCACTTCATGTTTCCTTTTTCCATTTCTGTGGTCTATCAGCAGCTGGCCTTCATGTGTCTGTGATGTTCCATCTCGCGATTGGACCACGGGAGAAGTACATGGGATACACCCTCCCAGTTATGGTGGTTTATGCCTAGCCCAGTTTTCCGCAAGGGTTTGCTATCTAATCATAAGATGTTTGAGAATCACACATTGTCTAACCTCACTTCATTGCACTCGTTTCCGCGCATGGGTTCTCTCTGTAGCCCTTTCGTTGAAGAGCAGTTACTTACAAGCTTAGCAGTGCTCAGAAAGACATTGTATGCAAATTTCAGATCATCTGATTCCGCATCAAGTGGTACAGCACTTCTTTCGCGAAAAGGTCTTTTTGGCAAATCTGGAGTTCTGGTAAGTTTTTATATGTTAATGTGTGATTTCACCCAGGTTTAAAGTTTATTTGCAGAATGAAAACTTGGACTCTTCAATTGCTATTCATCAGGACACGCAGAAGCTAGATCACGGGAAATCTGATCAAAACAATGGTGAACGTAAGTGTTACATGAACTTCTATAATGGCTTTGCTTGGTCGCGGTTTTTCTTCATTTTTCAATGTCCTGTACTGGTACAGTAGCACACTGGGCAAGCACACAAAAGAAAACGTTCCATACTTTAGACGTTTATTTGAAAAACGCTAACGCTAAAACGTGTTACAACTCCAAAAACTCAAAAAAAAACTTCGTTGAAGCTTCGAACAGAGGTTATTCGGTGTCATGATAACGAACGCGGAATCCGTTCTCACGCTGGTGCAATTTTGGCGACCACCTTTTTTTACCAAATTCGATGAAAACTTGCATAGTAAGGTTGTTTTATGTCCTGATCATGAATATGGTATTCATCTTTGACATTGGCATCGTCGTTTCCACCAAAAATCGTATAAACATGCATACTACGGTTACTTATGATCCTGATTGCAAATGTGACACTATTCTCGTTGCCTGGCTATGTAGGCACCGAACACAGCCGATCTGCTACAGGCGAAGTGGCAGAAGGGAAACTGTCTTCCTTCCAGGATGCCATAATCGTGATCAGAGTACCAAACAACCATATTGTGGAAGTTCTTATCTCGGACGAGATTTATGTGAAAAAAGTGCAAGCCAAATTGGTGCTCACGGAGTCGTAGTAACCAGTCTATTCGGCCATCAGACAACCTCAGCTTTGATTTTTGAGTCGTAAATAGTGCGAGGGTGCGCTGGTTGGTATCACTTGCATAACAAAGATGCTTATGAAAGTCGATTTTGATTCTGAAGACCCCAACTTCGCCTTAAAGATATGTTGTCTGAGTAGTTGTAAAATGCGCACTTCACCCATGTAAAGGAGGTCGATGTGATTGTAACAAAAAACGCAGAGGTCTAAGCAAGTGCAGTCAATTGCGAAACTTTTGATGGACTGTTTTCGGTCTTTTCATGTGGTTGTATTTCGAAATTACGTCGACAATGGGAGTTTTTGACGCTCAGACAGTCATTCTTGATGAAATACCCCGCAAGGAAGGTGGCTGAGGCTGAAAATGCACATTCGTTTCAGATGGAACGAAAGATCATCTAGAGGTATGTAATTTTTTTTGTTGGCTACAGCACTGAAAAATTGTTTATGCCCAATTGGGCGACGGGAGAGGGACATGTTGCACTTTCGCTGCTTCACTACTTGTGGTTTTACGAGTATAACTCAGGTGAAGACTTGATTCTGTGAAACTGGATCGATTGTGGACCACTATGAGTTGACATTCAACTTTGATGACTATGAATAGCTCACTGGGCTCAACGTTTGATGCAGCAAAAGTGCAGAGTGCCCCCCCCCCCTTGTCGCTGAGCTGCCCCTTGCTTGTATAGAATGTTGAGTGCATTGTTGCTGCAGTAGTATTTCAGGTGTTTCATACATTCACCTGTCTATTACTTATGGTAATTTAAATTTGCATTCCAGGAAGTAGAAGCTGATTCGTCTCCCACACCTCATTCGGAAGCAGCTCACGTGACTGACCCAAAAGATGAGAACAAGTCACATGCTTCTCCCCATGATGAAGGTCAGATATTTGTTCAGTTTTGACGAAGTAGTTGCAAGCTGTAAACTGGTCAAATTTCAAATGTTCAGACGAGAACAAATGTGATAGTGGGCAAAATGAAGAAGAACGAGGCGATCCAGCTAATGAAGAGTCCTCTGGTGAAGACCCCGATCCCAGCAAGGACAATAGTGATGAGCAAGGGGCTCACGAAGGGAGCCCTAGTGGGGATCACAATCCTGCTCAAAGTGATGATGGCGAAAAAGTAGCTGAGGGAGATAATCCGTCCACTCCTGAGCCACCTGGCCATGAAGAAGTGGCAGAAGTAGAGATACAAGAGGAAGTTTGTGTCAAAAAGATCATTTCTATGGACACTGACGATGTTGAGGTATGTCACTTTTGTCGTTTGTTTTGGGTAGAGTCGTAAAGCACTCCCAACTATGACTCTGTGACTGATTGTTGCCCTGATTGCTCTCAAATTCGTTTGAGGATTGCAGGATGAGCCCGAAAACGTCGCAGCTCCTGCTAATGAGGAAGGCGAAGAACTGAATGAGAACGTCATGGAGGTTGTGCCGGAAGAACCGGATGATGGGGCGGAGGAAAAGACCGAGCAAGAGGATGATGCGGCTGCTGAAAACGCCGATGTTGAAATGGACGAACAGTCAGGAGAAAACGTTGTCGAGTATGTTCTTTTCTTCCATCACGGCTCACATTGAGCGACGGTCTTTCATTCTGAAAAGGTCCCGCCGCAGCTAGTGCAGCTGCCGTGCGCTGCTATCTTAACAGTAGTAGGAGTGTCTGGTGGCTTGTCACGTTTCATTTGCTTCACCTTCGTTATAGTTGGATTCTTTTTGCTGCCATCCTGATCTGAATATGAGACGGTGCTCTTGCTGACGAGATAAATTTGTCGCGCGATTATCCTCTAAGGAGGGATCATCGCCGCTTACAATGTTATACTCAATTATTTCGTTCCATTGAGAGAGTGGCAGGATGAGATCGTGTTCCTAAGGAGGTCTTAGTTGGCCATCAATGAGATTGTACTAAGATTATTAGGAAGAAACAAATATTCCTCGAGCACAGTCAAGGATGAGCATGAAAATGTTATCCATTCATTCACTAGACTTCATTCCTTCCTGCAGAATTAAGAGCGGTTGCCCATTCAGCATTTTTTAAATAGTATACATTTCCTGGCTTAATTAATGAGCTAGTGAGATAATCGTAAGGCTGCGTTCATACTATGCGGCAGCATTTTGAACGTCCGCTAGCGTTTTCAGCAACTAGTAAAGAGTGGGTATCGACTAGCGTTATAGCGCCCGCCAGCGGAAAATGCTGGCGAACGCTCGAGACGATGGCGGACACTCGAAATACTGGGTTGATAACTATACATTCCTACTCACTCAAAACGCTGACAGACACTCGAAACGCTGCCGCTAAGTATCGACGCTTTCTGAGAGTGAGCTATAGGGAAGCTAGAGCGTTTATCCAGATAGCACTAGAACGAAATAATTAATCCTACTGAACTTTAGAGTTTCTCAGTCAACGTGTGAGGGCGAAGGAGATGTCGTAGAAGAAGTGGAAATGGAGGAGGGCGAAGACGTTAATGACGAGTTTTCTCCTGAGTAAGTCTTCAGCTTGGAGAATATTTTTGTACTTTCTCTCCCAGTAACCGTTATTTTTTAGTGAACTTGTTCTAACAGATGAGACACCATTAGAAGACACTACCAATGATGAGACACCAGAAGGAGAAGAGGACTCTTCCAAGGATGAAGCGCCTGTAGAAGACACTCTCAGGGATGAACAGCCCACAGACGAAACATCTAAAGATGAAGCGCCAATAGGTGATACCTCCAAGGATGAGGAGCCAGCCGATGAAGCATCTAAAGATGAGGCGCCTGTCGAAGAAGTCGAAGAAATTCCCAAGGATGAGGAGTCAACAAATGAAACATCTAAAGATGAGGCACCTGTCGAAGAAGTCGAAGAAATTCTCGGGGATGAGGCTCCAGTGGATGACTCTTCCAGGGATGAAGCGCCTGCAGAAAACACTTCCAAGGAAGAGGAGCCAATAGATGACTCTGGCAATGATGAAGCGCCCGTAGAAGCGAAATCCAAGGATGAGGCTCCTATGGATGACTCTTCCAAGGATGAAGCGCCTGTCGAAGAGATTTCCAAGGATGAGGCTCCTGTGGATGACTCTTCCAAAGATGAACCGACAATGGGCGACACCTTCTAAAGATGAGACGAAGGAACAAGAAGATGATGAAGAAGAGGAGGTGAAAACACCCAAGCGGTAAGCTCGCTCGTATATTTTTACTTTTTCGGCGCGTATAACCGGTGGAGCACATGAAAGCAGAGCCTATCTCACTTATAATTACCGAAGCTCTTCAAAGAGAGGGGTAATATAGACTGCAACGAACAACTCTGTATAGGTTTGACGTCAGGAAATGATACGTAGCTGCTATAAGGCAGAAGGCTGCTCAGGTGACTCCGCCCACTTCGGTAGATGTCTTATCTGCTGCATTGCTCGCCTGCATGCTCTTCGATACTTTGACCTCTCGCGTGGAATTCATATTTATTCTTGGTCTCTTGGGTGGCCTAAGTGGGCCTTTTTGGGGTGTTTTCTTCGGAAGGAGCCCAGAGGTCGGTGAACCAATTTGAGGTGCTTTACACTATTCGGATGAAGTAGTCACAGTCTTTATAGTGAGCGCCTCGAGTGCCTTTCCATGGTTATCCGGGCACTTTTCTACTGCCGGCTGTGGTCCAATTGAAGTTCGTGAAACCTTTTGGGTGAAGGTTTGATCCTTCTACTGTTCAGGAGGAGCAGCTCACGCAGAACTGCTGCAACTACTCCATCGGAGCCAAGGGTGTCAACGAGGACAAAAGCCACTCCAGCAACTGTATGTTCCTACGTTTCGTTTTTTTTTTCACATTCATCGTGTCGCAAGTTCGCCTGTTGACAAAACTGCTCACAATCCTTCGACTCCTTTAATTCGTTCATAGCATTTTCGCATGATACATTGTAGAGCCTAGAACTTTGAAATATACCTTTCTGTAGTTACCTCACTTTCCCACCCGAGGCATAGATCTGTACGTTTTCTTGCAATGCCTGAGCTTACGAATTTGAATGAGCTGCTTATATGTTGCCTACCTTTTTACCCTAGCCTTACTTCCATCTTTCTGTCCCACGAAGCACAGGTTTGTTTAAAGTAGCTCGTTTGGTATGTTCGCATCATTTAGGCCACTAGAACTTCGTCAAGGAAACGTGCTCATGATGATGAGGAAAAGGCCGACGATGAAGAGGTGAATTTTAGTGAAACGCTTTCAAATGTTCAAATTCAAGTGCCCTTTGTTAAGAAGCCTGTTACACCTGCGAAGGCCAAGAAATCGAAAGTGGATGCAAAGAAAGAAAAGAAAGTGGAAAAGGTGGAGGAGTCGAAAACTCCTCGGCAACGAAGTCGTCGCTTGAATGTCGAAGAACCAAAGGTTCGTCATGTTTACTAGTTATGAAGTTTTGTTGACTTTGTGTGAAACTGAAATTTCGAGCGTTCTAGAAAACTCCCACGGCAACTCCACCAACTCCGTCGAAAGGTAGAAAGACAAGGAAAGATGCTGCTGAAACGGAGGATGAAAATGCTGATGAAGCCGAGCACAAGAAGTCTGACGGAGAGGATTCGGGCACAAAGAGGAGTTCACTACGAAGAAGGTCGTCGGCAGTACAAGCAAAGTGAGTTGAAATTCTAGTTTACCTTGTAGCTCTGCCAAGGGAGCATTGTCATCTATTGTACTAGTGGGTACATGAAGTAGTAGACTTGGTTTTCCTCAGTTTGCATTGTTCTCCGTAAATTTGAGAGGGAACGCCGCAGGAGTTTCAGTTGAGTTTCTTCGCTAGCAGTTTTCACGGCCTCACGTGCTTGTCCTAATTGAATCTTCCTTTCGAAAAATATCCGAAATTGGGCCAGGAGTAACATTTAAAGTCGTTTCAGGGAAGAGCCAACTCCGAAACCCAGCACAGCACGTCGTGGTCGGTCAAAGAACGAGAGTGTTAGTTCGGCTACTGATAAAGAGGCGAAGAAGGAAAGCAAAACGGAAGCGGAAACACCTCGAAGACTACGGAAATGTTGGTTTATATTTTTCTCACTTGCTAACGTTTGAGGAATTGAATAGAAAGTACCTTGCATTGTCTGGTCCATTTTCAGCGGCGCCCGCTACTCCCGCTACTCCTCAAACTCCCAAGAAGTCCGCGAAAACCCCGAAATCTGAAAAGAAACAGGATAGTGAAGAACACGATCCGTATAACATCGAAACTGAGATGGAAAAACATCCTGAGCCACTGAAGAATATTCAGGTTAAATATTGTTAAACCGTATATGATATTTAGTTTGTGAATCTTTTGAATGCCGTTCAGATGGAAGTTCAGTCGTTCGGTGAGGTGAAGTATGCGAAGGTTGGTTCTGGAAAGTATGAGCGTACGGAAAAGACCGCTGAACTGCGGGTCGGCAATCTTGCTGAAATGACGCCACGCACGAAACAGCGAAGATCCCTCGCTGATCTTACCCCTGGACGGAAAAAGGCTGCATCAGCAGTTTCAGGGAGCAGTACCGCACCACCACCTTCACGGTGAGAAGCTTCTTCGCACTTGTTGAGTGAAGAGTTATTTTATCAATAGTGCATACATAACAACATTATAATTTTAGGAAAACAGGCGATGTACAGTGCCCTTGAGAGCTGCGCGTGAAGTGAAGTGTTTTGCGTCCGTGAATGCACATAGTTGCAGATAAAGCCAATCTAGCGCGCCGGGGAAAGGGGAAGGAGATCCAGCGTGGGGACAGGAAGCTAGAGCGACGATGATTCCGCTTTTCACCTGGCCAGGGGCTGCCTAGACAGGAAGTGGGTGGGGTTGTGTGCACTCCCTGCTCCTAGGCACTCATTTTTACGCGCAGTTGAGTACTGTATACCGCCTGCGTGCATAGATAGAGCGCGTTATGCGTCATGCAAAACATCGAGATCAAGACGCAATAGTGATTTTCAGTCGTTCTCGAAAGTCCAGTAAAAAAGATACGGATACAGACAATGAAGAGAATAAGGATGAGCATATGGAGGTGGATGATAGCACAACTGAGAAGAGCACACCGAAGCGAAAGGCCAATACTGCAACTCCAAAGCCTAACACCAGTTCTGCACGGAAAAGGCGGTGCGTCTCTATTTGCATCATTTTTCGTGTAATGGTTGATCATTCGTTCTAAAAGGAAAAATTTGCAGAGCTACAACTGAGACACCCGTTGTTCCACCAAAACGTGCACATGTAGAAGTTCCTCATCTAGCCCCGGCGGAGTTACTGGCGGTCGACTATCCCCAAGATGAGCACGCTCAGTACGAAGCAGGCGCTCGTGTATACGCGATGTTTGACGGCTTGTTCTATCCCGCGATTGTTGTCAGGTACCTTTTTTGGTGACACACTTCCTAATTTTTACCAAATTAATGATTTGACCTTTTGTCAAAGCCATGTTGAGAGTCTGATTGATTGTCTTGCAGCCGTGACGGTTTGGGACGGTACAAGGTACATTTCCTTGAAGACGATCTGGTAAAAGACGTGCCACCTGCTGGTGTTATCCCGTTGCGAGCTCTTGATCGCGATAAAGAGGTATTTCTTGGACTTGAGTGACTAAATAATTTTTTCAGTATATAAGAACGTTTTCACAATTTAGTGTTTCTACTCGGAATCGGCCGAGAAGGATCGGTTAGCAGTAAAGGTTGTGAAGAGTCCGGATCACACTTGCGCCTCTGCTTGGTTTGAAGCCGAATTTGAGCTGGAACAGCTCGACGACGATGGTGAACCAATGGGAAAGAAACTCAAGTGGGTGTTGTGGCTGGTGCTGGATGTCGATGTTCAGATTGTCGCCTAATCCGAATATTTGTAGCAGTTGATCCATCTGTTGAGAATACAAGTGTTTTAGGGGGACGTGGACGAAACTTGCTTTGTCGAAAGATGACTGGAGGGATTATATTAACAAGAAATCTCGCGAAGCAACAGACGTGATTGCTGGTATGAAGTTTGTTGATTCGTTCCTGTATTATTGGTCGTCGTTGTTCGTCACCCTCATGAGTTCTGTTTAAGATAACATTGAGAATACCGAGGACAGGCAGTTGCGACGATCCAAGGTAACTACTACCCCTGTCCAAAAACCCGCTCCACGATCTACCCCGAAATCGTCGTCGAAGAAGTCTGACACACGCTCTTCGCAGTCGAAAACTCCCGCGAAAGGTTTCATTGACTTTTTTCTTGTTTATTTGCATCAGTGCGTGAATATGCAAGTATTATCTTTTATTCCTTGTAGCTGGACGACCAAAGAAAGGAAGTGCCCCAAGACAAGCGGAAGAAGCGGATGAAGTGGAAGGTTTGTCTGCTGTATGATTAATTTGTAACTGAATTGATGTGTTATGTTGATTCACTTGAAGTGAAATTTATAGGTTTTGCTGTTGTTAGACAGAGCATTTTGCCGTTGGGGAAAAGTTTGGTAAAAAACGCCCCTCTCCTCTACCCCCTCCCCCTTCCAAAAAAATTCCTTCTCTAGTGCGACTCCTCCTTATTCCACTATCCTACCGATCATCTTCCTTAAAGACAGCTGCTGCGATAAAAGTGTCAAGGATAATTGCTGATCAATTATGAAACAGTAGCTGATAAGTAATTCCTCAATGAAGGAAAAAGCAACAAGAGCCCTCAAGAACACCACAAACAAAATTGCTCCCTTACAGTTACACCGCCCTGCGGTCCGTGGGCAACCCCTGGCTCACAAATCGCTTTTTCCCAGTAGTGGACAACATCCAATTCAAAGAAAAGAATATGAAAAACAACAAAGACACGAACGAAACACTTGAAAAAGGAAAAATTCAAAAATCTGGCGTCCTAATTTGGGGTTACGTGAAGTGTGCGGCTTTCGGTGCATGTCGAAAGCTGCTGACGAATGATGCAATTTCTGATGTGCTTTTGCACCACAGAAATTGCATCATTCGTGATTTTTACGCGTTTTACCTTACGAGATGGGTTGCAGTTGACTGTATGTGCTCCCAATGAATAAAATGTGATGAAGGAGAGCAGAATTATTTATGGGCACGAGCGCGTCAGCAAAAAGTACATGCAGTTCCGATTAATGCCCGCCGTCCCAACAAAGAACAACTGAGCGGCTATCCGTCAGAGGGCAGCTAGCAAGTAGGGCGGTCCAACTGGGCGGGCGTTAGAACTAGAACTTTGAGCGGCTGTAGCTCGCTCCTCGCTCACTGTGGAGTCGCGAGAGTGGGATAGTATCTAGCTTGGGGGCTGAACTACCTGCACAAGGAAGGACGACCATGTACTACTTGAGCGCGGGGGCTGTCTTTAATCCACCGCCTTCATCCCAGTTCTTCGCAGTTTT